TGAAAACTACAATTGTACTAAAACAATTGTACTAAAATAATAACTCAAATTATGCAAGATTTTTAACACACTTGCCAAGAGCCTCAAAGGAGCCGGCTAATAGTCTAACTCAAAATATCTTTAAGACGTAATTTGGTATGTTTATTCTAGGGCAACTTAATAACTAACCAGACAATTTTTATTAATCAACCGTAAACTATTCCGTATGCAAGGAACTACAGTTTCAAATCAGAGTTTCAAAATTTTACCAATGTAACCTGCTAAAACCGAATACATAACGAATCGACATGCCTATAGACCTCACGCAAAAAATTATGATAAAACTACAATATTGTATTCAAAATTTAACCATTTGTAACCTGCTAAAACCGACCTAGGAAGCCCTAAGACTTCCAAAAGTTCATGTAAGAAACAACAGTTTCAAATTGAAGCTTTAACCGTAATAACCAATCCTATTGAATTATATTCCAGACAAATTTCGTACCCATAAGTAGTAAGTCAATTAATCAACTATATTCAAGAAAACAAGCCATGTCTATAACCATCCGATCAAACGGCACAGTCCATATTTATCACCTTTAAAACAAACACAACAGATCACAAGGTAATTTATTAGGTTAACGCAAAACAAACAAAGTGTACGGAATCATCATTTGACACTTGGCAGGTTCATAAACATGTACCAGAACATTTGACAATTTTAAGACATTGATTTGCTTCAGGTGCAAGTAGCTTCAGCATTCGAAGCCGGCAAAACCTGCAAACACCAGAATGCAAACTGACCATGAAAAAAAAGTGACAATAACTTGGAATATAGATAAAAATAATTCTAGGCTGTAAGGTGATTTTAGTTAAGATCAAAGATAATTGTCCATCTTGTGCAAATATAAGTGTCATCCCGAAAATTAACACATACAAACGGATAAACTGGCTGTTTTTTTCAGGTTAGTTGTGTGCATGTAACGTGTTATCTGCGTATATATGTGTCTCAACCCAAACCCACAAGCCAACACAAATTGCAACAACTCGTGGAAGGGTAAAACGGGAACTCATCCAACAAATAACGAGTGAAAATCGTCAAACCATACCTCGCACTGAAGAGTAGTTATTGCTGACTTCAGTACATTATCCCCAACAATCAGCCTCAACTTCTTCACGAATGCATCTCTACTCATCTTCTTATTCTAGAGAACAGAAATACGAACAAATTTACAAAAAATGAGCAGAATAAAAAGATGAGGAAATTGAAATGTGAGTCCCAGTCAGTCACATACCTTCAACAACGTATAGTTGGTTCTCACTAGGCTCATTCTTTCTGAAGTGACTTTGTCTGCAATGGCAGCAAATAGCACAGGAAAAGGCACGCATGGGCTCTTGGGTGCCCTTGTGCGAACAGTTTCACCTACAATCTGTTATAGTAAACTCTCATAAGTACAGAAAATAGCATGCTCGAAAAAAAAAAAAAATTAAAAAATATTATTCTCGACAGTAGTTAATATATGACCGACGTATAAAAATTCTCCAAATCACAGCTTACTTAAGACAGTTTTCTGATACTACACACACACATAGGTATAGAGACATAAAAAGGTTGAAACTCCTGAATTTTTCCGCATGTAGAATGTATAATTGGACGTATTAAATTGTGCATTCCCATAAGATAACTTAAAACACATAAGATGATCTTTATAAATTACCAGTCTAAATCGTGCACCTCCCACCTATTCCATCACCTCCTAATTAGTGAGAAAAGGAAAGACGGAACAAGTCTAGCATCAATGACAATTTTCCCATGTTTTCAACCATTTAATCTATCCTATGGTTTTTTTTCACCATTATTATTTTATTAATTAATATAAACGACTGACAGACATCTTTCACATTGAGCTACGCCAATGAGTAATCTCTTAACTTTGCTAAGTGCAGACAAAAGCTGTTGAACGCCGCCATATTGAATGGAGATTTCAAATACTGCTATATCCTCACAGCAAAAAAGAAGGTGAAACAGCTATTTACAGAAAATATGTAGAATTCCAATGGCATGCACCATAGACGCTACAAATGTCAGGTGTAGACCTATACGCCCATGAGATGATCATTTTCTCAAATCAATAAAAACATTAATAAGATGATAAATATGCAAAGAAGAGAAGGAAAGAAAGGAAATAAACTTCAAACATGTATTAACCAAAAAATGACCCAACTCTGTGAGTAAGACTACCTGGGTCTGAGGTCCTCCAAGACAACTGAACCGGGAAATACAAACCTCGTTTTGCTGCAAACACAAAGGATCTGTGGAAGAATGGAAGAAACAAGAGCTCAACTGCTAAATAGTTGCAAGGAAAAAACATGACAATATGTGAGGAAATCACATATAAATCGTCTTTATCCCCAAAGTTAAGATAGAAAACTCAATCTAATTAAAGACTTGTTGATAAGTCTTGCAAAATTCTTTGGGGTTTTTTCTCACAGCAATAGTTTACATAGGAAGAGCAGGAAAAGATGCCACAAAACAAACTATCTACTTAAAACCTTTGCCTCAAGAAAAAGATGTGGGTATTTGATTTATAAGGATAGTAGTTCCTGTACTCGCTAGAATACTAGCTAAGCGCTCACTCACCGTGTACACGACATTGGTTGATTGACAGATTGAATTCTAATAAAAAAGTGGTGATTAGCAAGTTAAAATGATTTTTGGAACCACAACAGGTTATATAACATCTCTACACATCATGGACAAAGAAAATAAATTGCAAGCTAAACTATACCTGCAAGATCAGAAGTTTTGTAACTAACAACACATTCCGGGTATATATGAGAGTTCATATTCATGCTCCATACAACATAAATGTTTGGAGTTTGAAGTTTGTCAACACCGCTATCGAAGTCCTCACAACTGGGATAGAACTGTTTTGAGTCGCAATGAACAAGCTCCATATTCCCCATTATAACACGACACAATACCATATGCCGCGTCTCATTTTTGTCAACATCAAAAGAACTGATACTGAAAAAACAGAAAAGTGTAGTTCCACACATGTAATCCATTAACATGCATCATCGGGATGAAATTTTAAATAGAAACGATTGCCATTGAGATATACAAATACTAGTATGGTGCCTATCACAAGCAAAAATGAACAGACTCCCTTGAGTGGTAATCATAGGCAAATGTCAACCAAAAACTTTATTCTTGCTTTGATTGTTCATGTGAAGCGAGCCATTTTACACTTCTACCATAAACAAACTCCGACAAATGTTATTATGCTTCTATCTCAAGTTAAGACTATCTAAAATTCACAGACAAGTAAGAGATTGTATCCTCATTTTGAGAAAAGAACTTGTAGCTGCATTAATGACGATTGTGATTTTTTATGTCAATGTTTATATCAATCATTTCCTTTCAGTAGTATATAATATTCATCCTAGCTAACTAGTGTGACCTGAGGCCAATGCACCTTCTGTCAGTCTTTAGGCTGAACATTAATTATATGTAAGAATCCACTTGTTTTTCAATTGGAGACAACTGTAAAATTGAGTTCACACAAATATGGTACATTAATTTTGCTCATTTTCTCAATTTTTCTCACTCTTTATTTGGTTTTTTGGCAGCAATTGGTGGAGGTATTGTAAAGTAGAGTACAATAAGTAAGATATTATAGACCTAATCTTTGTTTCCCTTGTGGTTTTACTTCTCTCCCTTCTTGTACCAAAAAAAAAGTAGTTGTTCAAAGAGAGGGAAAAAGTAAATTAGTAACTAAATTCATAAATTTTAAAACAGAATGAAAAGTAAAATTACTTTTAGAATTAATATAATAACACAAGAATTTCATGATTGGGTCTTTAATATATCTCAATAATAATATCTTTTTTATGTCGTTGACCAAATTATACTGTACTATATTTTTTATTTATTTATTTATTTTTAATAAAATCAACAATAAACAAGCAAGTCTATATGCATGTATGACGTCCATTTTGAAGTAAACGTTGATAGACAATTTATTTTCCTTTTCCCTTTTCTGGATCTTCTTTTGTACTTTTGTCTTTTACTCACGAATGGCAATTAATTTTCATTCTTTTTCATAACTATCTTGAATTATTGAGTGTAAGTTAAAATAATAATAATAATAATAATAATAATAATGTGTTTTCACCAAAAAAAAAAGGTTTGGTCAACGATTCATTTGTGTCTTGCTATGCTGTTAGTCTTTTATTCAGTCACTTGGCTATATATGGCTTTACAGCTTTACTTCTTTTTTTTTTCTGTGCTCTTTTTTTTTTTGCCACTATTAAGCTCATAAAAGAGGGTCAATCAACAAAACCTGATCAGCATTAGTATTAAGTAACTAGGGAAGGCCAAAGCTCAAAACTAATTAAATTTTAAAGTTAATTTGTTATTGATATATATGAATATGAAATTCTGTATTAGATTCTTGTTAAGTAAGAGATACTATATAAAGCATTCTTATTGATATATAATTTGTTATTATATTAATTCTAAAAGTAATTTTACTTTTCATTCTGTTTTAAAATTTATGAATTTAATTACTAATTTACTTTTTCCCTCTCTTTGAATAACTACTTTTTTTTTTTTTTTTTTTTGGTACGAGAAGGGAGAGAAGTAAAACCACAAGGGAAACAAAGATTAGGGTGAGAAAAATTGAGAAAATGAGCAAAATTAATGTAGCATATTTGTGTGAACTCAATTTTACAGATGTCTCCAATTGAAAAACAAGTGGATTCTTACATATAATTAATGTTCAGCCTAAAGACTGACAAAAGGTGCATTGGCCTCAGGTCACACTAGTTAGCTAGGATAAATAATATATACTACTGAAAGGAAAGGAAATGATTGATATAAACATTGACATAAAAAAATCACAATCGCCATTAATGCAGCTACAAGTTCTTTTCTCAAAATGAGGATACAATCTCTTACTTGAAACCCTAAGGTAGGTTACAGATGCTTTATATACAGTCTCTTACTTGAAGCTCCCACACATACATGCATAATTTGGGATAGTATCATATTTTGATAAACATTGGTGGAAGAAAAACGAATAATATCTAATCATTTAAAAAAAAAGTTCAAGTATAGTAGAACCTTTGGTGGAATAGTTATGCTTATTTTCAAAGAATTGAAGGAAAAAAAAAAAAAAATCTGGTAGCTTATTTATGTATAGAAAAGTAGATCACAAAAGTACACAGACTCACAATGCAATCAACTTCTAGAAATCATCAGTTAGTATTTACACGATGGAAAAATGAGAAGCATAATACACCAAAGATGGCTCATTCCACCAAAAAACCATAAACATGGGCGAAGTTCTGGAAAATCAAACCTGATCTGGGTGCCGTTTGCAGGGATCAGATGTATTCCATTACCATGTGAGGCATTGATTTTCAAATGATTATAGTGCCCGATCCCATACTTCAGTACAGTTGAGACCATCCTGCTTGAACACGGAAGCCATGCGTATTGAACATTTGCATCCCCACGGAGCCTTTGAGTAATTTCAACCTGCTTCTCAAAAAGTTCCAACCGACTTTCCATTGTAATGTTCTTGCATGGAAGTATCTCAACAACTTCTGCAGAACATGAGCTAAAAGCTTTACATAATAACTCCATCACAGCATGAGAACTCAATGACCGATTTACAGGCTCAACAGAGAGAACCATGTTTCCTGCCATTTGTTGATTGTCCCCACAATCCTCACCAATGTCTACATTTAAAGTTTTGGAACAACTGTTCACTTCATCAGCATCTTCTTGTGCAGCATTCTGATGAGCTTGTACATTCACGACAATAGGGGAAAAGTCCCCACTAGATTCTTCATCTGATCTCCGTATTTCAATCTCCAAATTCAAGTTGATATTATTAGGTTTTGGAGTCTCACCTCCTAAATGACCATGAACTTCACATCCTAAGTAGTCATGGTCTTGAGCATCATCTGGTTCATAGTGGCTAAATATTTCAGGGAAGAAACATTTTCCAGACACATCAATCCAACCGAAAGGCTGATGTATACCAGTTTTTATGTCTAGCAGCATCATCCGCAAGAAGTCGAGCAAGATCGTACTTCCATCAACCTCCACTTCCACAGCAGACTTCTTCACAAGAAAATCTTTGTTCACAATCGTAACAACATACTGGGGGAATTCACTCCATTCACCATTGTAATAATACATCAAACGATGGAGAATCTCACTTTTCTTAAAGTTAGCATAATACTTAAGCAGATATTTCTTAGTTGGCAAAGCACAACGGTAATACTTGCTTTCCAATCCATCCACCTTTCTCTGCTTGGCATGATTGGGGATGAGAGTATTAGGAGATGACTGCAGAGGCAACTTTCTCTTCAGATTAACAACTCCACTGCCATTATCCAATACCTTTACGAACTCTGTGTTCATGTCTGCCTACCGGATAATTGTCTAACCACAAGTTCACAGCCACTTGGTAGAATGAAATGTTCCAACAACTGCCTCCTTAAGTTACCTCAGAAGACCAAATTTACCAACACATTGGAGAAAACCTGAACATCAGGGCAAATGTTTCAGCTGAATATGAAGAAAGATAAGCAAGTACGGACTGGCAATCTATATTTCCCTCCAAAAGATTTTCAGCCAAATTTGGCACTTACTATTAGGAGTTAATTTATTAAATAAAAACCTGAATAGGTTGGTTCATTAATGAATTTGGGAAGATTTAAATCAATAATTAAAATTTAGTCTAAAAGATTCAAAAATATCTTTATTAATCATTTTAATAATATTCAAAGATACAAATGTATTAAAACAAATTTTCTTTAGACGGTTGGGTGAATTTAAAAAAAGAAAAAAAAAATAGCTTACACGTAAAATATAGATACACATATCATGCGCTAGTATTAGGCTTCACACACACACACACACAAACACACACACACACACACACACACACACACACATATATATATGTGTGTGTGTGTGTGTGTGTTAAAAAGTTAATTAATTTGTGATAAAAATAAAATGCTAACAATATAGCTTTAAAAATTGAATAAATAACATACTGAAGTACCTTAGTTGGCATTTGTAGCGCACATCACAAGCACCCTCCATGTGGGGCTATTTTTCCTGGTCCGACTTGGACTAAAAGATGTAGGTCGTTTCCTTCATTATCTGAAACCTCAACATCAAAGAACTATATGCTTCCCAACTGAACTACAAGTAGGGCACCCACGTTTAGGTAAATAACAGTTATTAGAGGTTGACTTTTTACTGCAAAGACAAAACACTTAACAGATAAACCAACAGTTATGAACACATATTGAGATGCATAGTTACTGCGCTTAAATGAGGAAAAATGGCATGGACAACTTGATCATTCTTTACATGCTAACCAGCATCATTGCATATTATAATAATCAAAATTGTCCACAGCAACAAACAATAAAATCTGTGACTAATTTCTTATTTCTTAGCAAACCAAGCAAAGCATTTACCAAGAATCAAATCTTACCAGCATCTTCGCATTTTATAACCATTTAATTTTGTCTACATGGGCAATAAACAATTCGATTTGTAATTAAATCCTTACTAAGCCAAAAAAAGCATGCGTCAGCCATTAGATCTGAATACATGCACACAGGCACCAGAAGATAACTCGTCCTCAATTTATTACAGTTCATATCATTTTCTCTTCCAAAAATTATATAAAAGGAGGAAAAAAAGTATCTGAGGAAGAAAGATGAGAAAAACAACAGGATAGAAAAAAACTACAACAACCTAAAAAAAGTAACTCAAAGTCCATCTAAAACATTTCCGCACTTTCACTATAGTAAACACATAAGCCTAATTCACGCATAGCCAGACTTTTCTAAAATATCTTCAAGCTATCACTTCTAATATTAACCCAAGTAAACCTAATTCATACATGGAAACACTTTTCTCAAACATCTTCGAGCTACCAGTCCCAATCTTAACCCGTAATAATGTCAACACAACTCATCTCTGAAGAAACATTCACTGCATAGAGTGATGTATGTGCCTAATTATTAAAAATGGTGAATCCATGGCATGGCATGGCGTTGTGCACTTGTGAAATGCAACACTAAGGCGCTCACCTTGCCCGTGGTTCACCTCAACGAGGCGCTTGCGTTGATTAGTCAAGGCACTAACCTAATTTGAGAGCATTGGTTTAGGTTTTTTCATAAGTTACACTTCTTCGCCTCAACCAAGCCCTCAATTGGCTTGTGTTCTCCCTTTCATTTAAGCCCGGCTACCTGAACCTGGCGATTTTTTTTTTTTTTTCTGGAGACTATGGCTTCCGACACTGAGTAACTGAGAGGGATGGTGTTCCTTTTCACATTCTTTTCTTCTTGTCTTTTCTTTTTCTCCCTTTTTCTCAACTTCTGGTAGCTGTTCAACCCATCATCTGCGGTATTTAACGTCACCAGAGGTCTGTTGTTTCCCACCCCTTTTTTTTCTGGTCGAACCTGAGAAGCCTTCTACTGCATACTAACTGTATTCCTTTTTTTTCCCCTAATAATAATCTTTTTCAGTTGTTGTAAAAGAAATCTATACTCCAGTGAGTGCATGGGGTAAAAAAATAAATAAAAAAACCAACTATTATAGTCAAAATTCAAGGTTCCTTTATTTGTGTAAAAGAAAATCTTATTTGGAACTTCATTCTACTTTCACCTAGATTACATGTAATTTTTTCGTTGTTGAAGAATCTCTATTTTCGCATATTGGCTCGCATCGCTTTGATGAATCGAGCAGGCTTGTCTTTTCTGGACCCCTCACGCCTTTTCCAATCCCTGTCAAAACTATCAGTGTTCCCAAATTCTACATATTTGGGAAGTGGGACCCATGAAATCCATGATCCACCAAAAAATACAGAGTCACACATATATATCATTCATTGAATGGCAAATCAAAGGGTAATAACATACAAACTAAATCCGTAATTCACCACTCATATAAATTCCACATCGTTGATCAAAATAAAGCAAACTGTAATAAGAGGCAGTTCACTAATCATAAAGGTTTAAACTTTGAAGAATTTGAATACTTCGATTTCAGTCAAAAGGAGAAATAATTCCATTTCTTTTTTTAACAAGTCCATACCGAAATTCGGATTCCAACGCAATCCAAGCAAAACTCTACTAAATCAAGTAAAAGACAGATACAAATCTCAATTACAACAAATCAAGCCAGAAAGCTTAAAACCCAAACAGGTATAAGCAAGCAAATAACCCCTCCGGGAATCGAATCGACTACGTAAACAGGATGCGAGAACCAAAACCCACAAGAAATACATACAACACAGCATACATATTTCAAACACATGAAAACTGCAAAGAACTTGGCACTTCCTATCACAATTCACCATTCCCATGTAATAAAAATCCAGTCTTTATAAGTTTAAAGGGTAACAAACGCACAAAAAGCCAACAAAAATCACAAGAAACATCGATCCACAACAACTATACACCAAAAACAACTGAAGCAAAATCGCATATGGAAACTGTAAGAAGGTGATTAAAGCATACATTACATTCAATTAGAGAAGTCGTCGAATTCTTAAAACCTCTTCTTCTTCTTCTACTGCTGCGTTTGCTTACTGTTTGAAACCCTAGATCGATTAGAGAACAGTTTAATCATTGAAGTGTGATAAAAATCCACCGCCCACCATTGCCGACGCTTAAAATGTGCATTTACGAATTTGTCCCCACAGGCATGCTTGCGGCTGAAGCAACCAGTGTAGTTTTCGTCGTTGAAAGAGGGTGTTTTTGTCTAGTCATACGTACACATCATCTTGTACAAGTGTTGAAAGACTTCGGAATAGAAAAAGATTTTTTTTTCTAATATTTATTTATTAAATTTACATATTTTAATTTTATTGATTTCGCTAAAGTTAAAACTAAACTATCTTAATTAGTTACAAAATTATAATATATTAGTATTCTAAATTATTTGGATAATTACTAAAATATCCCCCTATATATTAATACAGAACGCGCTGAGCCTACGTGGCTGTTTCTGGTGCTTCGAAATCCTATGTGGCAAAATTACATGCTTCGTTATTAGGCTTGGGTAAATTTTAATTTAATTCCAAACAAAAAATAATTAGGTTTGGATTACCATAAATATGTTGATTATTTATGATCATGTTACATGTATTAATTTTATTATAATATTATTCCTTATTATAACTATTGAATTGTATATATATTTTAAAATTTAATAACTTTTGTATTTTTTATCAGTTTTACATATGTAATATAT